GTGTGTGTGTGTGTGTGTGTGTGTGTGTGTGTGTGTGTGTCACTGTTTGTGGCACAACCAAACACAGTTCATGCTACAAACCAAGGGAGGCAAGCCAATTAGTCACAGGCCCAGTTAGTCACAGGCCCTAAAGTCCTTCTAAAATGTCAGTTCAGTTTGTGTTACTCAATATTTCTTCCTTTTTTTATGAAAAGCAAAGCAAATTTAAATTACTCTGTAAAATTTCAACAATGAATGTTCTTTCGTTAAAAGCAATTGAAAAATAAAACTCAATTCATAGTGGGCCTGTGACAAACCAGGCCTGTGACTTACTGGGCTGGGCCTGTGACTAACTGGGTCTGTGACTTACTGGGCCAGTGACAAACTGGGCCTGTGAAAAACTGGGCAGTCCCCCTAACCAAGTACATGTAGTTGCGTTCATACCTTGTTTTTCTGAGTGACACAAAAGTGCGGTCTTTGACGATCTCCTTGAAGCTTATCCAGCACACTCGACTCAAACCGTTGAGCTGATGAAGTACAAAATGGGCCGTTAAGACAGTTTCCATTTCATTTCCAAGCTTACATTTCGTGTAATGTAAAGTGAATTCGGAAAAAATACACTTATAATACATTTTGTACTTATAAGCCAGTAACGTGTTCAGAGGAGCAGAGCATGTGTGTGGGGGGAAAAGACTAAGCTTATTCTGTCCCCGCAGAATTATGCAAATTTAGATGGCCAAATTATGCAAGAAAAATTCAAAATTATGCAAAAAATATTCAAATTACCGTAACGCCATTCACGACATGTTTTGCACTTTTTCATCAAGAATTTTCATGTTTTAGATCTCAGTACAGAAGAATTGAAAACAGAACATATCAGTATCCGTAGTTTTTTGTGTATTTGGAAAGATGCACATCGGTCAGAAAAAAAACAACAACCAAAAAATATAATCTCTAACTGTAACTTTCAGCTGTATAGAGTAAAGAAAATTATTTTCACAAATTAAAAGAAAACGAAAAAAAAAACCCAAACATTTGGACCTCAGATGCTGGCACATCACTAAAACCAGGGACACCTGGCAAACATGAAACAGCAGACATGAGAACTTTTGATGGATTGAAAAATTGAACATGCTCAAGGAACAAAAATCTCTCAAGGGAAATAATCAACTTGTTTCTTAAATAAGACTTATTACTCTGATTACTTCCCTTTAGGCACACAGGGATGTGTTTTCAATGCAGTTAGATTGTTTTGTGAAAAGTGCAAAAGAACAACCAAAAAAAAAACCCCTGAAAAACGCAGGGTAAGCATTATAATTACTATTTGTGTTTGTATGTTTGCCATTGTAACCCAAATTTCCCCAAGGTGAATGATAAAAAGTAATCTATTTATTTATTCATTTACTTATTTTTTGTTTATTCATTCATTTATGTATTCATTTGTTCATTTGGACATCTATTGATTAATACATCTATTGATTGATCGATTGATTGATTGACTGATTTATTTGGTTAACAGATTGATTGATTAATTGATTGATTGATTGATTAATTAATTGATTGATTGACTGATTGTTGATTATTGATTGATTGATTGGTTGATTGATATATATTTATTTGTTTATTTTGCCCTCTT